GGATGTTTGAACCTCTTTTCTGTGACATGTACATAATGTATATAGCCGAATTGACCGGTTATGGGAATGTATGCATTGTTATTTATGACAATAATATTAACTGAAACTAAATGAAACTAAATGTAGTTTAGCAGGAGAAAGTTTCCGTAGGAGCGAATACCCTGTTAAACTGAGAAACTAAACTCTGTGCCTCAACGATAAGTTGAAGTCTTAAGATTGCCTCAACAGGTAGAGAGGCTCCCTGTTGATGTTCTGAACCAGAGACAAAACTTTGAGCACACTGCTGGAGAAAAGAGCAGTGCTTTAGCATTGTAACCGGAGCAGGAGGTCCTGAGTGCTGTTTGCATATACCCTCATGCAAGCAGGGCGACTGGAGCTCCTGCTCGGACTGATCACGTCACACAGCCTTTTCAGAGACACGCTCACGGTGCCAGCGGCGGCCTGCACCGCCTGAGCAAAAGTCTTTTCTTTTAGTTTTGTGCTCTGCTTCTGGCAAACGACCGCCGGCTCGGGCTCTCCAGTCGATCCATCAGTCTGGCCAACGGCGGCCCGGCCGGTGCTTGTCTGCAGAGGCAGAGCTTCCTCCTGGAGGTGCGCAGTGTGTTTTGTGTGTTAGTTAGTAGGAGTTCACCTGTCTGTCTCGCTGGGCGGCGCCGTGCACACCGACCGCAGCCGAAACAACAACCCCCGCTGCCACTAATAAAAAGAGACGTGTGCCCGAGCGTCGTCCTGCACTTTGGTTGGATTGAAGTAGTTTTAGACTATTTTCGCAACCTCCTTGAGTTTTTTTCTCCAATTATTGATTTAATAAAGCATGATTATCAGCACTACGAGATGCTTCTGCCTCTTCATTTTCTTCCTGTCACAAACATCATATTCAAGGTAATTTGTTCATTTTTTTACCGATTTCCGTTCCAGGTGTGTGTGTCTGCTTTGAGCGGATCCCACTGAAATGACTGGGTGTGAATACTCTTACATTTATCGGCTTAGGGTTCCATGTGTTTACATTTACCAGTTTTTGTCCACTGGGGACCAGACTGAGGTGCAAAAAGAGGACAGAAACCAGAACACAGACATTGACTTGACACTTTATTATTTCCTCAAAAGTCTGTTCAATTTGTCACAAACAGGTTGGTGTTCATCAACATAAACTCTTAAAATTAAAGCTTTATGGCACACAATCAAAGTAGTTTAGAAACTATAAACAGTAGTTTAATCAACTGATTTAGGATTTGGCTTAAAATTAAATCAAAGAAAACAGGATTGCCTCAGTTGAAGATCCCTTACACTGGAGACAGTTCGGCAAACTTCTGGACGCTGCTGAGGGCTCCTCACGGTTCGGTCAGGAAGTCGATCTTGATGGTTTTGGCTTCTTTGGTCACAGAGTCGGTACCTGTGGCCGTTATCTCTGTCGAGCCGAACTTGATCTCCAGTTTGACCCTTCGGTTTCTGCCTCCTGTGGTGTTCGACATGTCCACATCGAATGATGCTACTTCTTCTATTCCCCAGTCGTCTATGTATTTCACATTCGGACGCTCAGTGCGGTAAAACGTGAGGGTCATCATCGTCTGATCTGGCTCGACTGGGTATAAGAAATGCTGTCTGGTTTCATTACAACCCACATCCTCCCCGACCGACACCAGTTTCAGGAAAATGTCAGCACAAAACTCCCGCCCACCAGCTACATACTTCTTCCCGGCTTTGTGCTTGGACTCATCAAAATAGTCCGAAATCTCAAGCCCGTAAGAATAGGCGCTTTTCCGAGATGTCACCAACTCTGGGTTCTTCCCAAACCTTACCGCCCCGTTTACGATTGCCTCCTGAGCCCTAGAAGGACAAAGGACTTTGCATATACCCCCAAACTCCCTGGTAATGTGCTGGCGCAGTATCTGGCTGGCAGCATAGCCCCCCACCAACAGAATGAACTCAATCCTAAAATCTTTCTTAAAGATTTCTCTGAGACTCTCAGTGATGCCCTCCAGACTCTCAGCAAAGAAACCCCTCAGCCTTTCTCTGGAGATTTTGATTGAACCATCAT